CGGACATAACACATTCTGTGCATCTGGGTACATTTTTTTGGCTTGTTCTGGGTCCTGTATATTTCTCTTTGCATTCAGTGTTACTTTTCTTTAATGCTGACACACAAGATAGCCCAGAAGAGGAGATTACAAGTATTCTTTCACCAGGTTTGTGGCCAGCCCTTGCTCCTTCAAGAAGCTCTGGGCAGAGCGTGGGGAATCATCAGCATTTGCACATTGTGCAGAAGTTTCCGGTTCACAGTTTTTTTGTGGCCATCTACCTGTTTTGTTTTTTCATACCAAAAATTGGTCATTTCTTGAGTACCAGGGACCCAAAAGAGGAAAAAAAATTGAGTCTTCACCAAGAAACAAAATTTGGTCCCCCACTGCCAGGCCCTGCCTCCCAGCGGCCAATCATCAGCTGGCCAGGAGAGGGACTTGCCAGTAGAAAGAAAAAGGTCTAGGTCACATTACTGGGGTTGCACAGAATGTGATGTGATCAAGTCAGTGACTTCTGGGTGATGCTCTGGTATTGGGCAAAAACTCTATGGTTGAAGCCAGTTTTACAATTGAGTTTTTGCCCAAATGCCAGAGCATCACCCAGAAGTTGCTGGCATGACATCACCACCTGAGCAACATTGGCGACATGGCTTAGGCCAGGGGTGTCGAACTCATTTGTTATGAGGGCCAGATCTGACATAAATGAGACCTTGTTGGGCCGGGCCCTGTGTGTCATAAAATGTAATGGCAGGTAGCGGAGATATAAATGTTATAAAGGACACAAACACAAAGTGGTTTTTTTTTTAACTTAAAATAAAAATATGCTTAAAACATTGGCACTCTTGCAATATTTTGTTTATTTAACAGTGTCTGATAATTGACATCTCTTGCTCTGAATTATTGCATCAGAATGTCTGTGTTGTTAGAATCTTGAGTATGCTGTTCAGGTGTGTATCTGTAAGCTGCAAACCTACGATGATGCAGCAGCAGCAGCAGAACTGGAAGACAACCAATTACACTGCGGGCCTGATGGAAGCCCTCCGGGGGCCTGATCCAGCCTCCAGGCAGCATGTTTGACACCCCTGGCTTAGGCCTTTCTCTTTCTACTGGTAAGTCGTCGCCCCCATCCCCCACCAGTTGCCAGGAGGAACCTGCCAGCACTACTTCACGATCACCTAGCAGCAACTGTGACTCCCCACAGGCAAGCAGGTATTTACCAGTCTGCTTGTCTCATTTTATCTGCACAAGAACCTTATGAAGTAAGGTGGGACTTTGAGAGAAGCGCCAAAGGCCGGCAATGGTTTGACAGGCTTTGAAATTGTTCTCCTTGATCCATGATTAGCACCTCTTTCCAAACTACCACACAATCACATCATGGGGGAAATGCATCAAAAGGGCCAAAAAATAATAATGGTGTACAACAGAGGGATGCTGGGGCATCAATAAGCTCAGAGATTTTGCATCCAGTCTCTGCTCCAGTCTTGAGCAGGTAGCATTGATTCTTTTGGGTTTGAGCTCTCATTAGAGAGCAATCCAGAAGACAGTGTAATCTGCCATTGACAACTGTATGCACCATCATGCTAGGGTTGCCAGCCTCCAGGTGGGTCCTGGAGATCTCCAGCTGATCTCCAGCTGACAGGGATCAGCTCCCCTGGAGAATTTTTTTAAAAATGGCTACTTTGAAAGGTGGACTCTATGGCACTGTACCATGCTGAGGTCCCTCCCCTCCCCAAACTGCGCCATCTCCCAGATCCACCCCCAAAGTCTCCAGGTATTTTCCAACCCAGAGCTGGCAACCTTACAGCGTGCTACCCTAAGGGATAGCTGGGTTCATCAAAGGCTACACTGCACCAGTTGTGAAAGAATCTGGTGCAATGACAGAGGACCCTTTCGATAAGGATGTAATAGGTTGGCCTAGTTCCCAAAGATGTTGCCCTTGTACAAATCTTGAAATAGAGTTGGTCTCACATGTTCTGTTACATTGTAACTTTTATGCTATGGAGAGACAGCTGTTAATTTTTCCATTGTTGTCCAAATTTAAACCCTTGGATGTCCAGTTGAAATTTGCGGAATTAAGGATTTTAAACTTTTTGCTAAAAGACCGGAGAGAAAGGATTTCTTTAGCTGTGGCCAGAGGTCATTTCGGGGGGGGATCGCGGGGGATCGCAGGTCCCCGGGTGAGGTACGGGGGCGGGGCACATGATGAAGCCCTGCCCCCTGCTTCCGGCCGCCCCGCTTCCGGCCCTCATTCAGCCAGGAGGAGGCAGGAGAAGAGGGAGGGTAAGTTGCTTCCTCCCCGCCTCTCCCCACCCCTGCCTGCCTGGGGCCAGGGAGGGCCTTGGCGGGGCTTCCTCGCACTCCCGCTGGCCTTGCAGGTCCACCGCCAGGCCTTATGATGTCAGGGGGTGTGGCATATGCTAATGAGTTATGCTAATGACTAGCTCTTTTGCTACGAAACGACCCCTGGCTGTGGCAAAATTTTGTTTCCAGGCCCTTAAAAAAAGGAAGCTTGTATGTTAGATAGTGAATTGCCAACAAATTAGCGTTGTTTTGGTGCGTTTTAATAATAATTGTATTGCTCCCGTATCCGTTTTAATGTTTTTATATATCTATTTGATTTTATGTATTTACTGTGTATTTTATTATTCCTCTTGGAAATGTTCTACAGTGGCTGGTCGCTTGACCGTATTCATAAACTTGACTTGACTTGAAAGGTGTAATAGGTTATGGTGGAAATGATCTCCTGAAGGGAGCAGATTATAAATGCATGTGCTTTGTGTCATCCCAGGTCAACGACGGACAGATTTTCCAACCAATCCGTTTGCAACCTGCAGAAGACAGGGACGTGGGGGTCTGAGCAGGGTGCACTGAAGGGCTGTTCTCATGAAGGCCAGCAGAGAGATCTTCACAAGGAACAAGGCTTCCAGTTAGGGTTGCCAGCCTCCAGGTGGGGGCTGGAGATCTCCCGGAATTACAGCTGACCTCCAGACTACATAGATTGCTTAATTTATTCATTCATCTAAAAAAAACATTTTCCCACTTCTCCAGGAGAAAATGGCTGCTCTGGAAGGTGGACCGTACAGCAGCAAAACCTACTGAGGTCCCTCCCCTGCCTAAACCTCGTCCACCCTCAAATTTCCTGGGATTTCTGAACCCAGAGTTGACATCCCTCCTTCCAGCTCTTCCGTTGATCAGACCCCCAACCCATCTCACCCTCCCAGGTCTGCCCAACAAATATTTCCATATCCCATAATAATCAGTTTATTGTGCAAATAGATACAATCCAGTTAAGCAACTTGTGCTTCCAGCTTATGTGTTGTCCCTATTTCATGTTTACATATTAGAAAAATATTTTTCCCCTATCGGGGCCTCTCTCTCTCTCCAGCAGCTCTGTGACAAGCGGTTTACAAGTATGCATCAAACTCTGCTCTCACCTGACCTCGATTGTGTCAGCAAAAAAGGGGGGGTAGGAGGGAGAAACTATACAAGAAGGCAGCTACAGATTGTGCTTATACAGAGAAATGATAAAGAGGGAAAGGAGGACATGCCGCATCTGCTGTTAGACCTCTGGTCTTTTGTAGTCAGAGCTCCACCGCAGCCTATTTGTTGCAATAGTTTTCGTTGCAGCATATGAAGGTGAACCACAAGAAGGCCGCCGGCCTGTAAACCTCTCTGCAGCCCTTGAAGCAGCCGTATCGCATAAACAAGAGCGTGGAGCCTGGGAACAGAAGAAACAGGAAGGACATTATGAGACAGGCAATCCCCTCAGCTCTCTTAGCCCCTTATACGGTACCAATCTAGGAGTCAGGGGTGCCAGCCTCCAGGTGGGACTTGGGGATCTCCCGCTTTTACAACTGCTCTCCAGCTGACGGAGATCAGCTCCCCTGGAGAAAATGGCTGCTTTGAAGGGTGGACTCTATGGCACTGTGCCACGCTGAGGCCCCTCCCCAAGCCCCACCCTCTCCTGGATCCACCCCCAAAGTCTCCAGGTATTTTCCAGCCCAGACCTGGCAACCCTAGGATCCCCCAGAATCACAGCTCATCTCCAGACTACAGAGATCAGTTCCCCTGGAGAAAATGGATGTTTTGGAGGGTGGGGTCCATGGCATTGTACCCACTGAAGAAGTCCATGTCCTCCCCAGGCTCAAGCCTTAAATCTCCAGGAGGTTCCCATCCTGTATCTGGCAACCCTACCCCTTAGCCCCTCCTAGTGAACAGGAGGTACCTGGCAAGTGACAACCCTACTGGTGGCATTCATATTATCCTTCCGTTTGGGAAGAAGAATGGTTGCCAGTTCTGGATGGGGAAATTCCTGAAGATTTTGGGGGTGGAGCCTGGGGAGGGAGGGGTTTGGGGAAGGGAGGGGCCTCAACGGGACATAATGCCATAGAGTCAATCCACCCTCCAAAGCAGCCATTTCCTCCAAGACAACCGATCGTGGTTGTCTGGAAATCAGTTGTAATAGCAGAAGATCTCTAGGTGCCACCAGGAATGTGGCTACACTAGTGGACTGCCATGTCCTGATTCTTGTTCCCTCAGCGACCTGGTCCCTTCTGTTCAAAGCCCTTGAATCTGAATAGCTTTTTGTGAATCCAGCAGCCATTTAGTTCGAGATTTACTGAACTTCAGCCGCTGGGACATATACAGGAAAGGGGCATATGCACAGTTCTGCATAACACAATATTTTTTTCAGAGGTGTAAGGCTAGTATGAAAGTCCCTTCGCTGTGTTAAATTCAAATGTTTCTTTCCTCTCCGGGACTGGGGGGGGATCCTTCTGAAAGTTTGAAGCCTGATGTTAGCTGTGCGTATCCCTGAGTGGCTATTGCCTCGAGCGACAATAATCCAACCATCCTGACCCTTCCTTAGCACTTCGAGCAGTTTTGCATTTTAATGAAGCAAACACCGGAGGAAGACAGGAGGGCCTGGCGTGATGTGGTCCATGGGGTCGCAAAGAGTCGGACTCGACTGTGCGACTGAACAACAACAAAATGTCCTTTGTCAGGTGCACTTACCATAGTAGAGGTTCTGCCTATAGCAGCTTTCTCCTTCACCCGCCCAGCACCTAGCTTGCTCCACCTTGGGGCATTTTTCTTTTACATACTTCCTTTCACAGTCATGACACCAGATTGCACTCACTGGGAGAAGAAAGTAGGGTTGGGGAGACAAAAATGGGAGCTAGATTCAGGTGGGATAGCTGTAAGAGTTAAACCTGATGCAAGGCTGGGACATTTGTAATTGGAGCAGCTCCTTGTTTTTAAACTACTAATTTTGGCCATGTGGGGCCGGTTTAGAGTGAAGGGTTTAAGCCTCCCCATGTCTTCAAGACCTCCCCACTGACAGGCAATTTTCTTTTCCTTTAGGGGTAATTACAGAACAAATGAGGGGTCGGTTTCAGTTGTAAAACGGCATAAAGGAGGGAGAGCTGTTCTTCCTCCCGGCATTGAGTGTCTCCTGTCTTTCCGCACCTTTCACATCACCTGCTACCTGATCCTGTCAACTGGACATGCCAGGGATTGAACCTGAGACTTCCTGAATGCCTAACAAATGCTCCACCATTGAGCCACTGCCTCTGCAAGCATTGCCAACTGAACACGTTTCTTGCAACTAACTTAGTCCTGTTGGTTTCAGTGGAGTTTAGTCACGACACACTTGTCCTACATAGGGAGGGACTGGTGCTTTAAGTTTACTGGGGAAATTCCTGGTGGGACCATTGCCCTAAAGGACCACTGGCAGTCTGGGGCAAACGGATCCACGTGGCCTCTGTGCAAATGGAAGGGCCATAGAGCTTACTTGCCTTGGATCCAAGTCCTCCATTGGTGATGATGGCAAGCGCTGGTGGCTCACCTGTTGCACAAGCTCTGCTTCCAGCCATTGTTGCCCCAGCACAGCTCTGAACCAAGGTGAACTTGCAGCATGGCCAGCAATGAATGGCTCCTTGGTACAGTTGGCACCGGCAACAGATGGGGGGTAGGGTTGCCAGATCCAGGTTGGGGAACTCCTGGTCAAGGTGAACTTGCAGCATGGCCAGCAATGAATGGCTCCTTGGTACAGTTGGCACCGGCAACAGATGGGGGGTAGGGTTGCCAGATCCAGGTTGGGGAACTCCTGGAGATTTGGGAATGGAGCCTGGGGAGGTTGGGGACCTCAGTGGGGTACAATGCCACAGAGTCCACCCTCCAAAGCAACCATTTTCTCCAGGGGAACTGATCGGATTCCGGGGGATCCCCAGGTCCCACCTGGAGGCTGGCATCCCTGCTCTTTGGCTTTCCTTGCTGCAAAGCGGTTTTAACATTCCAGGCCATTCCTGACCTGGGCCAGTGCTGTGGTGCTAAAATGTTGAATTACCCAAATTCTAGACCCGGTGGCTTCTGAGCAATTCAAGTGTTTTAATATGAACGACTGTTTTATTGCTTGTTTTATTCTGTTTTTAACCTGTGGAATTTTGGCATATGTGCCCATCTGTTAGTCGCCCTGAGCCCATCTGGGGAGGGCGGGGTATAAATTTAACAATAAATAAATAAATAAATGTTTGTGTTCGGAATCTTTCTCTCAACAATATATATATTCTTAAATTTACCAAAAGATGCAAGGGGCTTTGATTTTGATTGGAACAGCGACATTCAGTGACAGTCACTTTTCCCAGCTCCATTTCCCCGAACTAAGTGAGAAAACATAAGCAGGTTTATTTGGAGGCCTCATGTTATTCAGTGAGGCTTACTCCCAGGAGTAGGAGTGTGGTTAGGCTTCAAGCTTGTCCTAAGGACCCTTTCTTGGAGTAAGCCCCACTGAATGACATAGGACTGAATAGTCCTGATTAGGTAAAGGTTTCCCTTGCTTGAAAGCCAGTCGAATCCGACTCTAGGGATGTGGTGCTCATCTCCATTTCCAAGCCAAAGAGACAGCGCTGTCCAAAGGCATTTCCGTGGTCATATAGCCGGCATGACTAGACGCTGAGGCGCATGGAACGCTGTTACCTTCCCATGGAACGCTGTTACCTTCCCACCAAAGCAAGTACCTATTTATCTACCTGCAGGCTGGCAGGAGCTGGGACCAGGGACGGGAGCTCACTCCATCATGCAGCACTCAGGTCTCGAACTGCTGAACTACCAACCTTCCAGTCTGCAGTTCAGCGTCTTAACCACTTGAGCCACTGCAGCCCTAGTCCTGATTAGGATTACCCAATAAATTACCCACTGTAGCCTGGGGGGGGGGGATATTACAGGCACAATACAAGTACCTATTTTTTTTTTCTCTTGTGTGGCTAACAGCTGCTTGGGGTGATTTAGATCAGGACAATGGTATTTATCAGTTTCTTTATTTAGAAAAATGTTCTGCTGCCTCTCCAGAGAACCTGCCCAAGGCAGGTACAGAGGAAAGGGGAGGAAAGATTAAAACAAAGATCTCCCATGACACAAGTGCTCTGAGCCAAGGTAGTAAAAAGCGGTAGAGAAAGCATTTTAATATCCAGGTCCTGGATTCCAGGATAAGCTTTATGTTTGCATTGCAAACGTGTGAAACTAAAAATCTGGCATGCAAATTAAAGTGCATTTGTCACTTTGAACATTTTATGAGGCGTTATTTGGGCCCCTACAAGGTTTTTATATGCCTTTGAAATAAAGACTCTTTTGTCTATATACTTATTTATGTTTTTAACCTTTGGCCCACAATATGTTTTTTAAACTTCCTTTGGAGGTTTAAGAGGGAATTGGATAAACATATGGAGCAGAGTTCCATCTGTGGCTATTAGCCACAAGGTAGTCTGCAGCAAATCTGGGGCAAGTGATGCTCTGTCTTCTTGGTGCTTGGTGCTGGTGGGGCAACAGTGGGAGGGCTTCTAGTGTCCTGGCCCCACTGCTGAACTTCCTGATGGCACCTGGTATTTTTGGCCACTGTGTGACAGAGTGTTGGACTGGATGGGCCATTGGCCTCATCCAACTTTGGCTTCTCTTATGTTCTTAAAGGTAAAGGTTCCCTTGCTCGAAAGCCAGTCGAGTCCGACTCTAGGGTTGCGATGCTCATCTCCGTTTCAAAGCCGAAGAGCCAGCGCTGTCCGAAGACGTTTCCGTGGTCATGTGGCCAGCATGACTAAACATCAAGGTGCACGGAACGCTATTACCTTCCCACTGCAGTGGTACCTATTTATCTACTTGCAATTTCTTGCTTTCGAACTGCTAGGTTGGCAGGAGCTGGAACTAGAGACGGGAGCTCACTCCATCATGTGGCAACTCGGATCTCAAACTGCTGAACTACTGACTTTCCACAGCCTGCAGTTCAGCATCTTAACCACTTGAGCCACCACAGCTCTTTATGTTCTTATGTTCATTCAAATTCAAGTGTTCTGGTTTACAAATCTGCCTAAAATTTGAAACACTATTTGCTCTTCAAATTTTCCTATGGGATCTTACCAGAGGAAAGGCTGAGAAGAATCCATAGGCCATATGCCAGAAGCTTGTTCATCTGTAATTTGTATTTGAAGTGAGGAAAGCTTTGAAGGTGGGTCAAATAATGGTCTCTGTGAATATTAAAGAAAAATTGAAAGAAGCATATATGTGGAGCTTAGTAAATCCTCTCTACATATTATCTTATGGGTCTGTCAGTCCTCAGGTAAATCGATTAAGATCTTGTCAACACAATCTCCACCATCCAAGAGACGTGCTTGATGCAAATTTCTCTGGTGGCTCACTGTACCTTCTCCTTTGGCAGGTATCTGGATGAATTTTAATGTAGCCATGCAGCAATTAAAAAAGGATGTGGCCCACAAAAGGAACCTATTTGAATTATTTGGGTTCTAGATCTGATCAATCCTGAATTATTGCTGGAAACTAAAATGACTACACTGAGGTTATCATTCTTTGGTCACATTATGAGAAGACAAAGAGTCACTGGAAAGGACAATAATGCTAGGAAAAGTTGAAGGCAGCAGGAAAAGAGGAAGACCCAACAGGAGATGGATTGACTCTATAAAAGAAGCCACGGCCCTCCATTTGCAGGACCTGAGCAAGGCTGTTAATGATAAAACATTCTGGAAGACACTAATTCATAGGTTTACCATAAGCTGGAAGCAACTTGATAGCACTTAGCAGGGGTCATTTCATAGAAAAAGAGCTGCAGGAGCGTATTAGCATAGCTTATTAGCATATGCCACACCCCCTGACATCACCGGAAGTGTGCACCAGCCCCTCTGGCAGGCAGAAGCACCTGGGATCCATTCTTTCCCCCCTCTCCCTTCCCTTCACCTCCATGTCAGGCAAAGGAAAAGGGGAGAGGGAGGATCTCAGGCACTTCTGCCTGACAGAGGTGCTGGCATGCCCACAGCCAGCCTGGGTGAATTATAGAATCATAGACTCATAGAGTGGGAAGGGACCTCCAGGGTCATCTAGTCCAACCCCCTGCACAATGCAGAAAATTCACCAATACCCCACACACACCCCAGTGACCCCTGTTCCACGCCCAGAATATGATTAAAAAAAACAAAAAAACTCCAGGATCACTGGGGGCCAAACTGGCCTGGAGAAAAATTGCTTCCTGGCCCCAAAGTGGCGATCAGCATTTCCCTGGGCGTGCAAGAAAGGGCCACAAGAACTAAGCACTGATGCAACCCTTCCTGCTCTACCTCTCGTGATTTGCCTAAGTTCACAGAATCAGCATTATGATCCTTTTAAAGTTGAAAGTATGATATAAATGCAAAGGGCTATTTGTAAGATTATCTGTAAGACACAAGACCAGGACGCATCTCACTTCTGGCAATCACTTGGAGAGACCCTATCACTCGGCTTCCATTGCCCCCCCACACACCCCACACTGGAATAAGAACATAATATCAGGCCATAACACATTGCAATAAAGCCCCTACAACTGTATACAGAAATACTGAGCTTCCCTACCATTTGTCACAACTA